AATCTGTTTGTTTTCCTGGCCGTCCATGGTATATTCAGTACTCTTCTCCAGCACCACAGCTCAAAAGCATCCACTCTCCTTCTGTCCTCCCTAGTCATTGTCTAGCTTTCTGATGCATAACAAGCGATTGCAAAGACCGTGGCCTGTCTCTATAGACACGTTCAATTATTTATTATTACAGAAACGACCTTTACAGAATCAAAAGAAGTTCTAACTGGGAGACGCTCAAAGAGCACCAACTGACGTTGGACCAGGAGTCCGTGCTCTCATCACAGCCCACCTTGTCCTGATCCAGAAAGGGTAAGCACAGATTGTTATTGTTTTTGTTATTGTTGTTGAGTAACATCTAGTTGGAATTGACCCACAGCTGACCCTCCAGACGGTGAGGCAGTGAAACACACAGGAGGGCATTGCCCATCTTTCTCCTGCAGACCAGTGGTGGATTTGAACCGCATGCCCTCGGGTTGGCAGCGCAGCTCCTTACCACTAGGCCACCGGAGCTCCAAGCATAGATTGTTGTTGTGGCTGTTGTGTACCACTGAGTTGGGACCAACCCACAGCTGACCCTCCAGTTGGTTTTCAAAGACTGTATATCACATGGGAGGAGACTGTCCAGCAGGTGGAATCAAATCGCATGCCTTTGGGATTGCAGTGCAGTCTCTTGCCACTAGGCCACCAGATGGCATGGACACAGGTACAAGGAGGTGAAATTGACACAACTGGTGATGGCCAGTTTAACACCAGCGTAACTGATGTTAAAGATGACAGCTCCAGTTCCAGCAACAGAGGCAGGCCTGACACGAGAGATGATGACAGGCTGAAAAGTAATGTGCTTCTGAGATGCCTGACCGACCCCATTACTCTGCAATTGATTCTACAGGGTGGAGTATAAACCCTGGAGGGGTTCCCAGGAGCAGATTGCCTTTCTCCCTCAGAGCAGCTGGTGGGTTGCCACTGCTGACCTTTACGTTAACAATCAAATGCTTTCTCCCTGTGTCCCCAGAGTTCCTGGCTAGATATGCCAAGTCAACAGCCAAATACATGCTTGCCTGGAGGCCAAGAAGAGATCTACGCTCCAGATAAAAAGTTGATGGTTATCAACACACAAACAATAATTACAATGAGGATAGCAGCAAATGACCATTTTAATCTAGTTATCTAGTAATGAAACATTTACCTAGCTAGCTACATCAAATTGTGGCTAGCCTTGAGGAGAATGGAAATCCCAGAACACCTGATTGTGCTCATAAGAAATTCGTACTTGGACCAGGAGGCAGTCGTCAGAACAGAGCAAGGAAACACCGCACACTGCGTGTTTAGGGCTGTTTTACATAGGGTCACTATGAGTTGCAAGCGACTGGACGGCACATAACAACTCCCTTGTGATTTTCCTTTTTTTACCTTCCTGATGATTCTCAATAAAAACCCCAAAAGGCATAGCCTAGGGGCTGGAGTTCTCCCAGCTTTCTGGCCTGACCCCCATTCCTGTGTGTCCCCGTCTCTGTGTTTTCCTTTGGTCAACAACATTCTGATGGCTCCCAGTGCCTCCTGCAGATCATCAGTGGAGGACGAGTGGACGCTGGGCGTGGGTTTCAGGGAGAGGCATTCAGATAATTCCTGGCAAGTGCAGAAGGAGTAGCACAGGGAGACTGGGGGTTCTGGAGGCCCACCAGAGCCAGCGGCCGGAGCATTCTCTGCACCATGAGCTGCTCCACTCTAAGTTCTCCCTCTTTGCTCAGTCGCTCGGCTGGGGAGAGGGAAGAGCTAGGGTCACAGGGTTCCTGCAGGGCTGGATCTGTGAGGGGCGCAAGAGAAGAAAGAGCAGGGCGGCTCAGGCATCAGCAACGGTGTTGTTAAGTGACAAATGTTGGGACATAAGAAAGACAAGCATGGTACACCAGGGAAGGAGTGTTTCTTTTACTTTTGAAAGAGAGGAGCGAATGGGGTGGGGGGCAGGGGGAAAGGATGGGCGGGGAGAGAAGTGCAGCAATGAATGAATGGAAATCCAAAATCTCTGTAAATGCTCATTAAAATTATTTTTTTTAAATCACCTAAATCAATATTCAACAACAACAAAAAAAAAAAGACAAACATGGGGCGCTCTGGTGGCAAGAAGCTGTGCTGTAGTCCCAGAGGTACGCAGTTTGAATCCACCAGATGCTCTGCTGGAAAAGGAGGGGCAATCTCCTCCTGTACCAGTCAGATCTGATTTGATGGTACACACATTAA